CTAGCTCGTACATACGTCGCGTTCCTTGAAATTCGAAACCGTGGCCGACTACGATGCAATTTATATAGCTAAAAATCGGAAAATCATATTAGGGATTTTTTTATCCGAAAAATTTCCACGAATTCTTGATCGGGATCCCAGAAAACCCTATCAACCAAATTTTCGTTGCCACAGTATACAGGGTGCTCGGGATAATTTGGGTGTCTCGCTTAAAAATGGAACAAGCCTGTAGCTTATCTACCGTTGTGTGTATAATATTTTTCTCATAAAATTTCCGTTGTTTAGGACGTTACCTTGAAGCCATAAACATTAGGTACTTGATATCCTCCTTCACCTGAGTATGGGATATCTTTGACTTAAATAGTGGCATTTTATGTTTCTTTAAACATCTCGAAAATTTACTTTCATCATTTTTCAATGGGCGTTTGCTCTTATAATGGTTATCTCGAGATTGCTTTATTTCTGATCCTATTGTTGGTTTCTTTTGCCTTGGAAACTTATCCTGTTTATTTCTTTCTGCATAATAATAATTTAGGGCATTTTTTAAGGTATTTTTAAGAATCTCTTTTTTTTTAAATATTTAGAAAGCAAAAGCAGGACAATATTAGTTACTTTTACGTTTTAATTTTTAATGGACATGCATCCATATGTATTCTTCTCAAAATAATCGAATACTACCTTACGTACAATTGTCAAATATTTGACAATTAGTAGCGTGACTTGAAAAACTAGCATTGTTATATTGTTGATTTGTTGATTTGAATTGGCTGAACAGCAACTAACTTTAGTTGAAAAAGTTTCAATAATTAAACTCGTGGGTACAGGTGAACGTACATTGCGACAAGTCGCGCCAGAATTTAACCATATTAATCCCGGACGCAATATAAGCCGTTCTACAGTATCCCGAATCAAGCAAATATTCGAAGAAACAGTATCAGTTTCTAGGAAGAAAGAAATAAACAATAGAATTAGAAATAACGGATATGAAGACTTCTTAAGACATTTTCGTGAAAATCACCGAGTCAAGTATCAGAAGGGCTAGCGCCTATTTGAACGTTAATAAAAGCAAAATTTGGAGATGTTTGAGGAAAAATAAAATAATACCATTTAAACCAAAACTACTGCATATACTGGAGGAGGGAGATACCCAACGACGCATAGAGTACTGTTTGTGGCTTCAAGGTAACGTATTAAACGACCGAAATTTTATTAGAAAAATATTATACACAGATGAAGCCACATTCACAACCAACGGAACCGTATCTGCAAATAACTCAAGATTTTGGGCGCACGAAAATCCGCATTGGGTTATAAACTGTAAAAGACAGTATTCCCACAAAGTCAACGTGTGGTGCGGAATTATTGATGAAACTATAATTGGGCCGTATTTTTTTCACGAAAATTTAAATGAAAATTCATTTTTACAATTTCTGCAGAATGACTTATGGGAGGAGTTGCATACTTTGTCTCTACACCAAAGAGTAAATATGTACATTCAATTAGACGGCGCCCCTATACACAATACAATAGTCGTGAGAAATTGGCTCGATGAACAGTTTCCAAATAGGTGGATAGGACGTAATAGTCCTGTAATTAGGTGGCCACCTCGGTAGCCCGACCTAACCCCCTTAGATTTTTTTTCTCTGGGGCGTTTTAAAAGAGAAGGTATATAAAAATCGCCCCACTACTTTAATCGAACTTATAAATGCGATTAGAACCGCTTGTCGTACTATTAGTAGGCAGCAATTGAGAAATGTTGTCTTTTTAAATATTTGGTATACACTGTCTTCAGGATAAGGATATCCAACATGAGCATATTGTAAAAGGTCATATTTGGTTAACTGGGAATAAGTTACGTAGTTAAGGGGTACACAAAATGGCATTTCAAAATTGTCAATATTATTTTTGGTTCTTTAGTTATTTAAAGAAGGCGAATTTTTGGATTTTTGATTTGCTTTTTCTTGCTAGTTTCATGTATAATTTATTTATGAGTTTATTAAAAATTCAAAGATGATTTTTATTGTCTTTTATTTCAGGTCTATTCAGCGTAACACTGTAAATCTCACGTAAAGGGTTGATTTACTAATATATTAATGTTGAAATGTCATAATCAATCTGACCACGTATACTGTGTTAGCCTTCTCAGAATAATAATATTATACCCACAACTTGAGTCACTGGTGCTTCATACATAAACGTAAACTTTCATAAATGGGAGATAGAGCTGTCGCACAAACCATTTGGAATATATCAAAATTAGACAAATAATTTTCAAAATTGATATTCTTTCTTAATCTCAAATTGTAGTTTTTATTTCATTACCTTTAGGAAAATTACACAAATTATCCCGGGCACCCTGTATACTGTGGCAACGAAAATTTGGTTGGTAGGGTTTTCTGGGGTCCTGATCAAGAATTCGTGGAAATTTTTCGGATAAAAAAATCCCTAATATGACTTTCCGATTTTTAGCTATATAAATTGCATCGTAGTCGGCCACGGTTTCGAATTTCAAGGAACGCGACGTATGTACGAGCTAGATTTTTTGAAGCTGTGTCCAACAAAAAAAAGTTTACTCAAATCGGCCGAACGGTAGACGAGTTACAGGCTTGTTCCACTTTTAAGCGAGACACCCTGTATATATATATATATATATATATATATATGTAGGTACCTACTGTGTATCAACTGTCAGTGGTTAGTATTTGGTAACAAGTACAACAGAAAATAAATAAACACTGTGGGTGATCAATATATTTTGGAAAATGCATTTTTCTTGATAATTAATTTCTGAAAATGGTGTTTAGTTTTCAGTGGCTGTCACTCAAATGCAGAACAAAAAGTTTAATTATATATTCACATCGCCTTATTAGCGTTTTTAATACTGTCAACTGTTTTGGAGTTTGAGTGCTAGAAATGAAGTTTATTTTTATGTTTGGTCAAGATGGCCGACTGATGCTGTTTATAAAAAGAACAAGTTGTTGTTTATCTGTCATCTATTAAAGTTGATTAATAAAAAAGTAGTTTTTATTTTTCAAAAGTTAATTCGTACATCTGTACAGAATTTATAATCTGTAACAGATATTGTCAGTTGAAAATCACTTTTCGGCTTTGTTACACGAAAAGCGATTGAAATTATTTTGCATAAGTAAATTCATAGACAGTTACAAACATTTTTGCAAAATGGCTCAAAATTTGCATAAATAATTATCGAATATCGAGGCAGAAAATTTCAGGAACTTGATTTTTAATAGCTAATACCTAGGAAACATTTGAAAATAATAAAAAAAGAACGTTAAGAAGAAATAAGTCTTACAATTAAAAATTGCTTCCAATAGTATATTTCTGAAAATAAAATAAAATAAATTGCATATTTCGAAAAAATTGAGTTTTGTCGAACCATGATTGAAAAAAAATGTTTCGAACAAATCCTACGTACTGTTAGCCACAGAATCTGAATCTGCGTAAAATGTAGGGATTCTTATTTAAGATTTCAAAGTTATCTCCCCTCCAGCTACAAGAAAGGGGAAGGGGGGCTAATTTTAGCCGTAATGTATTCCCTCCATGGATTGATTAAATTTTGATTATGTTCATTTTTTTTCGTAGAGTGCTTGTTTCTCGAGATACATATTTGAAAGTTTCAGATTAAAAAAACACCTGGTATAACTAAAATGGTTAATACTACATTTGAGTGACACCCACTGAAAGTATACTACATTTTTTAGAATTTATTTATTTTTTAATCAAGATATATTAATCACTCTGTACATTTGGGAATTTATTACTGATTTTTTTCAATCACATTAAAAAGCCTGCTTTAAATAAATGTTACAAGTTTGTTATAATTAGCTTGCTAAAGCATTGAAACAATATACAGGGTGTCCCGCATAAGAACTGACACAGGACAGGTGCATGTAAAGGTGTCCAAAATATTGTAATTTAACCAAACTTACCTATATACAAAGTTGCACCCCTGAGGATTTAGGGCCCCCAAAGTGGGGCCCTAAATTTCGAAAAAAATAATTAATATCTCTTCAAGACTTTACCGCAGAAGAACCAAATTTGCATTATTTAGGTTTATTACTGGTTTTATTTGACTTTGATGATTTAAAGTTAATTGAAGCACTACAATGTGTTCATTGGGGATGACTCACCCCTAAAATTGTACCGAACTTTTTTTTCATTGACCGAATCGAAACAGTATTATTAATTCACAGCAGAATTTAATTTAAATTTTTTTTTGTTAAATATAAAAAAAATGATTTTCAAGAAATCCCGTATTAACTGAAACACGATTTTAACAGTGTTCATTAGAAAATAATCAAAAAGTCAGTAGTAGGCTTTATCTTTCAAATTTGACAATTGGCCAAATAAATTTTACTTCACTTCTCTCCTAATTCTACAAAAAGAAAAAAGTACCTAGGTAGTTTTAAATAAGCGAATATTGTATTAAGTAAAAAACGCAAATAAATAATAAAAATAATAATCGATATTTTTTCAACAACAATCAGTGGCAATTGTTGAAATAAAATAATTTTTTTACTAACTGACAAGTTTGAAAGATAAATTCATTGCCTATTACTGACTTTTCGACTATTTTCTAATAGACACTGTTAAAATCTTGTTTCAGTTAATACGGTTTTTCTTGAAAACCATAATTTTTTAAAATTTAACGAGTAAAAAATTTTTTAAATTAAATTCTGCTGTGAATTAATATTATTATTATTCAATTCGGCCAATGAAAAAAAAAGGTCGGTACAATTTTAAAGGTCAGTCATCCCCAATGAACACCTCGTAGTACTTCAATTAACTTTAAATCATAGTCAAAAAAGACCAGTAATAAACATAAATCATGCACCAAATTTGGTTCTTCTGCGGTAAAGTGTTGAAGAGATCAATTAATTTCGAAATTGAGGGCCCCACTTTGGGGGCCCTAAATCCTCAGGGGTGCAACTTTGTATATAGGTAAGTTTGGTTAAATTACAATATTTTGGACACCCCTGTATGCACCTGCCCTGTGTCGGTTCTTATGCGGGACACCCTGTACAGTTTTGGAAGTGTGTTTGTTATATTACCTCAAATTTCTACCATAATTTATTTAGATAATAGTAGATGCACCAAATACCGACACAATTTTCAAATTAAAACGTTTGTACATTGAGCCATACGTTTCCAAGTTATATTAGTCTCAATAGTTTTATTTTAATCGTACAAATTTCCTTGTCCTATTACCAATGCTAGGATATAGGTATTTGTAGATATAATGTACAACTTCTTATCGTACTTGTAAAAAGATTAAGTTCCAAAGTGGAAAAACAAGCGATAAAGCTGAATGTTTCCAGTTGCTTTCCTTTAGCTGAGCTTGGAATCACTGAGGCAATTTATTGGAAATAAACTTTTGTTTTCGATGTTTTCTGGTAGTTTTACGTTCGACCGATCTCCGCTTAAGAGGGCGCTGACTTTTCGTTATGTACTGTTGAATTGATGTGGGCATAACACTTTTTGGAGGAATATGTGCCAAGAAATTCTTCCCTAGGTGTAGATATTTCAAGTTCTTCATCGGATCGAACATCTTAGGATGGATGAACTTAAGTCTGTTGCTATCCAGATATAACACTTCTAATGCCGGCAACTTTGCAAAGGTAAATTTGCTCAAATAGTTTATACTGTTGTCGCTCAACATCAATGTTTTTAATGTAGGAGATGCCATTAGAGGCTTCCTCTTTGGTATAATAATTTTATTCTCCGAAAAGAGAAGTTTTGTAAGCTTTGGAGCGATTTTGTAGATGTTGGGTGGCAATTTAGAGATTTCGTTAGCAGACATGTCGATCGTCTCTGTGTTGGGTAGGGCGTAGATGACGAGGATGGGAAACCTCTTCAAGCCCATGTGGTCCGCGTAGATGGTATCTGCTCTTGCCACACGCTCGAAGAAGAGGTTGTAGTGGGACAAATTGAAAGACGTAGACAAGCTCTTCTTGAATCCGCTGATATCAACGCAATTTACTTCCTTTTGATTGGGCAGTCTCCATGTCGTAACGTAGAGATACGCCGTATTGCGTTCGCTGCATGGCTGTCCGTATGTGAAAGAGGCATTAATGGTTTGGTGTACTGTTAGTCTAAAATTGAAGAATTACTTATTATTAGTTCCAATTGCTGTTGTATCAAAACAAATGTAATAAGTAAATACATTAGTTAGAGTACAACAAAGCGTACAGAACTGATGGTTCGCCGCCATCACAGGAAAACGAAAAAAGCAAATTAAAAAACCGCAAGCGGGGTTTTTGTAGCAAAGGTGATATACAGGGTGATTCACAAATGGTGACTAAAAAAGTTATATTAGCTACATTATAGGTCAAAAAAATTATATTTGAGAGTGAATAATTTTTCACCTTCTGTGGGCCTTACCGCCTCCAGATGGGGTGAAAAATATTTATTTTAGACAACACAAGTTTGCAAAAATAACTGACGTTTGGATGCGTTATAAGTAAGGTGAGGTTGTAAGTATTGTTTGACGTAAAACCCGTTTTCCAAATCTTTGGAACTTTTCCAAAAATAAAATGAACTTGTAATTAAAATGGTAGGACCCCGACTGACGTCACAAATGCTTAAAAAACAGAACATGTCCGAGAAATTCTGGATATGTGATAACCTATACAGGGTGTCTCACTAAGGTGGACGAGGTACGATATTAGAGAAAGTATAGGCCCCAGAGCTTCTGGAAAAAATTTTTGATTCACATGTCGACCAATATAAATCGTTGGAAATAGTTTTCAAGTTCGTAGCTCGGCCGCTAGGGGGCGCAATCTATATACTAAAACATAGAGTTGAATTTTTCTCAGAAATGTTTCCTATTAAGATATATTAAATAGTACAAATATGGATAACCGGATTCTTTGCGCATAACGTTTGTTACTGACATTTTGTTTTATCTCTTGACATAAAGGGTGGGAGAAGCTCAGAAAAATGCATTTTTTTAATGATTGGCTCATCAAAAGCCCATAGTGTTATACCTCGTTGGAAACGTCTTTACATGCTTTATCTCGTGGTGGATGCGTAATGTCATTTACTTCAATATGGAAACCTATAGATGGCGTTATTTCAAAAGAATGCCGTTTTATGGATTTTTCTCAAAAGTTTTAAATGGAATGCTATAGTTTCTTTACATCAATGAATTCAGCATGAAAAATTGATGAATATAGTATAAGTTTGAAATTTCTAACAAACGTGTTGTTTATTTATTGGCGCTATTTATCCAAGTTTTCTTAAAAACGTGAAATAGCAGGATAAAACTTTTTATAGGTTAGTTTGAAAAGCATAAAATTAGCTCCATTTTGACGCCATAAAGGGTTCGATATCTTTTTTTTCTATCAAGTTATTCGCAAAAAATAAATAATGATAATGAATTGAGTAACACGACGCTAATGAAAAGACATTTAATTAATGTAAAGAAAGAACAATTAAATTTTAACAAAAGTAAAGATGTTTATACCTAAACTTGGATAAATAGCGCCAATAAATAAACAACACTTTCGTTAGAAATTTCAAACTTATACTATATTCATTAATTTTTTGTGCTGATTTCATTTATGTAAAGAAAACTTATAGCATTGAATTTAAAATTTTTGAGAGGAATCCATAAAACGGCATTCTTTTGAAATAACGCCATCTATAGGTTTCCATATTGAGGTAAATGATATTACGCATTCACCACGAGATAAAGCATGAAAAGACCTTTCCAACGAGGTATAACACTATGGGCTTTTGATGAGCCAATCTTTAAAAAAATCCATTTTTCTGATCAGATATTAGGGGTTTCCCCCACCCATTTACTAAAATATCGTTAAATACTTTATTATGAAAACAATACCTATATACTACACCATAAAAAGTGTTTTGTAATAACCTCACCGTGTTCTAGACAAATATATTTTTTAAATACATTTTCTTTATGAATGAATTTGATCTCAATGAAAAATAAAGTAAACATAGAATGATCTAAGCAGTCCGTACGATGTTTGTCGAGATGGAGTTCCAAGACCCCTGCATCACAATGTTAAGGTTAAATAAATATAACTATTAAATATTTTGGTTTGGTAAAATTGAGTCTCCTTTAAGAATTTTTATAAATTACAACTAATTTTTTTAAAACAAAGAAAGCTTCTAAAAGTATTGCGAACAATGACGATTTTAAGATATATTTATTATTTTTTATACTTGTTTTATCCCAAGGAGTATATCAGAATCCAGATGTATTTCACTGGAATTCTAAGAAAAGATATCAATTCCAGTAAACAGAACCATAGTGCTGTTATTTGTAAAATTATTTTAAACACAGACAACTTTTATAGAAGATCATTAAAATTAACGCCATTTTCACTGTTGTAAACACTTATTAAAAATGCTTATACATATAATATGTAATATGCGATAATATAAGAATTTTCAGAATTGCATGTCGTGTATTTGTAAATTAGAATCTCTCCAATGTTATAATATAATCAAGAGTAGTGAATTAATACTTACAGTTTGTTTATTTAACGTAAATATTAAAAAAACAGTTATTTGTAACTAAGAATCATAATTTAGTATACGAAAATCAAGTTATTTTTTGTACTTTTTATTTTCTTGTCAGATATCAGAAGTATACGTATGATTTTTAATACGTATAGACTGATCGAAATAACTCATTTAGAGGGAGAAAAAAAATTGTTACCTGGACTTTTATAAGTGGAAATGGTAAAGGGGCTTATAATAAACGAAAAAAAAAAAATAAATGCGTGGAGGTTTGATTTGAGGGGTTGAAAAGTTGAGAAAAATTGTATCATTGGGATTGAAAGTTGACGTCAAACAAAAAAGTGTCCTATACAAAAGTTGTAGATCATGCAAAAATCTACAACTTTTGTCAACGTCACTTTTTAAGATAACGTCAAAATTTCCGAGAAAAATGCGAAAAACCGTTTATTTTCTTATTCTTAATTTTTTATTTCTCATTTCCGAAAAAATAATTTAATTTTGACGAAACTTGGTGAAAGTATACCTTTCTGTGTCTTAAATAACCACACATTTTTTTAGATAAAAAAATCAAGAAGTTTCCGAGATATTCATTTTTTCCGGTCTGAAACACTTTTTTTCAAAGAAAAATTCTACTTAGGAAAATCATCGTACAGAGTTTTGCCGGTGATCATTTTTTTTCGTGTTGACATATACTTTTTGGTGAAATAAAAAAATCTGTAATCACAGTTCAAAAACATGCTCAAAAATGCAAAAGAAATAAAAAATGACTTGCAACAATGAATTTTTCAATAATTGTTGATAACTTGTTTACATTTAAAAAAAATTCAAACCGTTTCCACTAAGTCTAGGTAACATTTTTTTTTCTCCAAGTGTAATTTGATTGGACTAGTATGATTTTTAAACTTATAACAAGTATACAAAACCTGTACCATAACAACAGCATCAAAAGTTTGTTTATTTTTAAAATAATTCATGTGTTACTGAACTATTTGGCCGATATCCAGATCGAATTTTTATACCGATGTTTGACATTAAAAATAATGGCACTGGTTCTATTCGTAAACTGAATATTATCGAGGACAGCGACTGTTTTTACAAAATTTATGAACTGTAAGTCCAGACGTGAAATATAGTTTATAAAATGAAACAATGTATTGTTTTCTAAACGTCCTTTGGAATTAATGTCTTCTATATATCAGATTTTAAAAATTTAAAATAGTAGTAATAGTTGTAGTAATATTTTCATTCAAAGAGAAGTTAAATGTGACACGTAAATTATGTAGAAAATTATGCAATATTAATTTATTAGAAGAAAATGAATATTTTATGTTATTAGAAAAAAGCTTTTAACGAGAAACGAATTAAAAATTTTTATATTATCTGGCCTGATGTAAGAAATACCATTGTTTTGGAGTATTTATACAGAAAATATCCTTTTGAAAAACCTTATTTCATTATTTTCTACAATAATTTTGTATGTATAATACACTATAATACACTAATACTATTTAAAAATTGTATATGGTGACCTATCCTCAGTCACCCATCAAAATAAATATCTTCTTTTAAGTTTCTACATTTTGATGAAATCATCTTTTAAATTTTAATAGAATAGGAAGAAAAAGAAAATAATTGGCATTGTGGCAAAGTACCCAAAAATAAAAGGCTACTTGAGGATTGTCACAAATAAATACTTTGAGACAATTGCATAAATTGTTGCTATACTTATTAGTTGAGTAATATCAGCTTTCTAAAGCATTAAAAAGCAAAAGTATACCCAAGCACGTATGGGGAAAATATAAAAATTTACTTACACTGTTATTACACAAAGAAACAACAAAAACTTCATGTTATCTCCACCGCAAAATGTTTTCAAGTGGATAAATGTGTGTAACTAATTTTCTGTGGCATAGGTTAACACGTAACAGCGTTCTGTAGCAGTACTGCGTAAGTTTTAAATAAAACTCCCGAAATATGTTCTTATCTCACAGCCAATGGTTTATTTGCATACTTTTATCCAATATTTATATTTGCACCAGTGAATGACTTTATTGGGAATGAGCCAGATCGCGATTTAGGTTGGCAGTGGCAATAAAGTAAAATAATAGGTATATAAATTGTTTATATGATCCATCAGGAACAAGGAGAGCCCTTTACATTTTTTTGAGATCCACCATTCGAATGAATTTTTTATAAAGGCTGACTTTCTTCCCCCCCTTAACTTTCTTATTTTTATGTTAGAAAAATGAATGAATTTTTGTGATATTCAGTTTTATATGCAGCCTTTATAAAAATAGTGAAATATATTTCTTACCATTAGATGTAAATTCATCAAATCTTGTGTCACTGAACTCCTGAAAAGTATTATGTCCAAATGTGATACATTTTGTGAGATATTAAAAAAAATCTGTACATAATTCAATATCACAATGCAAAGTACATACCTCTAGTTGACAGCTATAACTTTATAATTTAGTTTATTTTCTTTAAATTTAAAAATAAAGGAGAGGACAACATTTATTACCAGTAACCCTGTACTGTAACCCTGTAGCTGGTGTTGTATAAATAAGAAGTCGCACTTTTAAGACAATGTTATAACAAGAAAATCCATTCAAACTCTAGAAATGTTGAAATACAAGGATTTCTTTAATTGAAAAAAAAATCAATAATTATTATTATGATAATAATGCATGTTTCATAAAAGCGATTTTCTGTATACAGGCTGTTACAAATTCGCTTCTCATTACAGGGATCTCGGAAACGGTAAGAGATACGAAGTAGCTTAAATGAGGGCAAAGTTGCATAATCAGGGGACCAACATCATGCATCTAAAAAATCAAGGCTAACATGATTAGTTTTCGAAATATTAAAAAAAAAAATCGAAATTTTAGAAATCCGTTTTTATTTAATTTCTGCCTTGTTTGAGATGATATTGAAAAAGGAAAACGCTTTCTTATGACAACTTTTTGCCCTCTATCGAATGGCACAATCAATTATTTTTGTATGTAACATTTCGTCTCTCCAGGACCACCATCAAATTCATTTTTTTTAAATACTACTCTGGAAATTACTGTACTGCCTCAGCCGGAACCAGATTCAGACTCTTGAAAAATTAGTTATTTAAACTATCACATCACACGTTACAATAAAATATTATTAGAGTTTTAATCCTGTGCTCATAGTTATTTCTATGTTTCTCGAGTGCTCAAAATTCAAACAAATTTCAATTTTATTTTTTTTTTGCTAAAACGGAAACATTTTCTGTAATTTTTTAAAGTATAATATTCATTTGGAGTTTTGGTTGTTCATATGCATTTTTAAGAATTAATTTGTCATAATAAGATTAAAATTGTAATAATGTTCTAATTTTGACGCAACAATAATGTTTTATTGTAGCGTGTGATAGTAATAGTTTAAATAATTAGGTGGATTTCACAGGGTCTAACGATACTTAGAGTGTACAATAATTCAATAAACAATTTAGGCTGATTAAAAAAATTCGACTATTTTTTTTTCAAAATTCTCTCTGAAATAGATTCAGGGAGGTGAGAAGAGATGCCTGTAAATATCGGAACTCTTAATATTAATATTTAGAGGTCACACATAACGATTTACTATTTTCCATTTAAGTAAATAGCATGGGAAAATTATTTTTCAATTTCAGAACTTTATATCTTAAAAATCAATAGATGATTTTAAATGACCGAAACCGTATTCTTATAGGTAATTGAACGTTCTACAAAAAATGTTCCTTATCTTTTTTTGAAAATTTAAATTTATAATTACACTTTTTTCTCTAGTTTCAGGTAAAATGATTAAAGTTATAATGAAATATTATAAAAAAGGCATTTAAAAGTCAAAATTGATAAGTTTATCAAGTCTTTCAAATTAATATAACTGAAAAACCCACCATTGCTGGAAAGAATCAATTAAAATCCTTTTTACTGTATTAAATACTAATTGAAATTTTTTTAAAATTATTTCTTTGCTAGTGATAAATGACTTTTCGATAGTGATAGTGGAAAATTTAAAACTTAAAGTACTGAAATTGAAAAATAACTTTTTCCATGTTGATTAAATGGAAAATAAAAAATCGTGATGCGAGACGTCTAAATATTACTATTAAAAATTCCGATTTTTACAGGCATCTCTTCTCACCTCCCCGAATCTATATCAAAGGGGATTTTCAAAAAAAAATAGTCGATTTTTTTTAATCAGACAAACAGAAATCTAAAAAAAATTAGAATTTGGGACGAATACTTTGAAGATGAATTTTTCGAGACAAAACCTCTGAATCTGGTTCGTGCTGAGGCAGTACAGTATTGGGGGTCATGAAGTCTTGCATAAAATGTAATAAAATTTCTAGGGTTGTATTAAAAAAAATGAAGTTGATGATGCTCCTGGAGAGACGAAACGTTACATATAAAAATTGATTATGCCATTGTATATAGGGGAAAAAGTGGCCATGAGAAAGGGTACTTATTTTGTCAATATCACAAAACAAGGCTGATATGAAACAAAAACGGATTTCAAAAATTTCGGTTTTTTTCAAATATTTCGAAAAAATCATGTTAGTCTTGATTTTTTTAGCTACTTCGTATCTCTTTCCGAGATCCCTGTAGTGAGAAGCGAATTTGTAAGAGCCTGTATATAACAGGCGTGTAAATGTAATGATAAACATAAGTAGTAAAAACATGCCGTTTTTCATTATTCTGAATGTATGTTAGTTGTCAGAATGCACCCAGCCAAAAACTTGTATTACTGGTACAGTGAAGATTGTTTCTAACTTGCTTAGATTTTCTAAAACCCTTATCAAAGACTGCTATAAATTCACTGAAAATTAAGAACAAAAACGCCCTTGACTACAATTTAGTTGATAGCCCATGGCCTGTTGTGATTTTTTTGAAATTTGAGGTGTTTTGATTTTAAATGATGCTGATACAGGTTAATATTATATGCAGGTAATATTAGTTATTATTAATACTAGGAAAAGGAATTGGAATACAACGTCATATTACTCTAGGGCAAAATAACAGGACCTAAATATTATCGCTCGCATTTTGACCCTATTTTGTACCCTTCTTTTCTACAAGGGTAGAATAGTAAATATGCCTTGTATAAATGAAGGAGACGAATGAAAGTATAAAGTTCATTAACATTAATATTTGATATATGTATAACAATATTTTGCTTTAAATTAATAACAAAAATCATTTACAGCCGTCTTTAAAACTGAAAGTACAACTTGGGAAGGAGCTTTTAACAGTAACACCAGAAAAACCACCTAAATTTTCTTTGCCATCGAATAAATGTTGTTCGTTTTCCCTCACAATCAATTCAGAAAAATTGTCATCACTAGTTCTTTTGACTCCTACTATTAAACGAGATATTTTGTTCTTGGACGTTATGCGATCTTCTACATATCCCGATGCTACAGTATCACTCTTCCATTTTCCATGTCTTTTCAACGTTTTAATATCTGCACGTGAATCTACGAGAAGAGTTGCCGATGTACAACGCAAACAAATGACTTGTGAACATTTTAGCATCTGCGTAGCCGAGATATTTTGCAATCCTGGACGGTATGCTACCGAAGGTATTTTTCCCTACTGGTTGTGCAGTACATCGATCATTCCGATGTGTCAAAAAACCGCCGTTCTTTAATTTCTTTTGGTCGCAAAGATTTATACTATCGATACAATTGGAGAGCGTGCATTTCATTTTCTTCCACAATAGTAAAAGATGTTGATACTCCAGTTTTTGTATCGTTAATTTTTACTACAACAACGATTCCTTTGTCAACTATATCATCTATCGAGAGCTTTACCAACTCATCTCTTCTTAATCCTCCAAAAATACCTATTACTAGAACAACCTACAATAACAAAAACCTATTAAACACATGTAATGATATAGCCAATTATTTCCTATATTACCTTTTTCAAAAGATATATATGTGACTTGATGCTTCTCTAATAAATTTAAAAATATCCTCTTTTGTTTAGATTTTTTTGGAATATATCTTCACCAATAATGTGGCCTTCAACATTGAATACTTTGTCCACAATGTGTTATAGCTGAATGATTCTGGTTAAAAGATATATAAAAAATATAAATTATCAAAAATTATAAACATTTCTTTAAAATGATAATGAGTAATACACATCAGTTCTTGGAAATATCCCATTAATATAGTTTCACTAACAGCTGTCACTGAATTTCTGCTTGCCCAAGTCTCAAAACGTTTATATTTTTTATCATAAAGTAATTTAGATTTGTTAGGGAGTAATTCTTCATTGACTTTATTGGCTGGAATATTCTGCGTTTTTAATATGTCTCCTCAGAATCAAACTACCAAAATCAACAAATTGCGGGTGTCATAGATACCTACATCTTGGATACATCGTTTATATATTGAAAAACTGTTTTCATTCTCAGTTAATTATTAAATTTAAAATAAATATAAAATCTGATATCTAAGTAAAAAATAAAACGTTCTATGCACCACGGGAGACACTAGGATGATTATGCCCTTAGGCGACAAGCAACCTGTCGGGCATCATCCCTGTATCTCCCTTGGTACATAATTAACTATTATCATGTCTACTTAATGATCGACTGTATAAAAAACTTTTTTCACATTATCTATTATAATTTCCATGATCTTGGCAGTAAGAAACAAATTTGTAACCCCTTAAACATTTATATTAATTGCATTTGTACATATAATATTTAGATTTGATCTTAATAAAATAAAAAATATCCATTTCTTTACAGAGACAATGTTAGGGATTGCAATGGAACTAATATTCATATTTTCTTCAATTTTTCATTTATTAATTCCTAGAAGATTTCAATGAGCCTAAAACATAAATAACACAGCTTGTACCTGTGGTTTGATGAAGCCGCCTGCATTTCAATGTAAATTTTGATTAAATGTCACATATTATTATTGAAATAAACCATG